CATCAAAAGGGAGGTCCTGATTCCATTTACACTGTCTTGAGAACCCAACAAAATGAAAAAATGGTTACTAGGAGAGGTATTTTATATGCTTCCTTATGGTAATAGAATGGCTCCTTTACTCTGCTCCTTTACTCTGATTACAATAATGTCAATAGCTGCCCCAACCCATATGTGGCCTTTGGGAAGTCCATAATTAAGCACCAAGCATTAATACTCAAGATTTACATCATTTATATATTAATTCCAATATATGAATACAGTCCAACTGCTGAGATTCTGCATAGCAACCTAATTGCTAAAGCCTGCCCCAAACTTCCTTCTTTCAGAATCCTGTGGCGATATTGCACCTGTTTGTGGTTCCTTGTTAGTCTCTCAAAATGAGGGTGCAAAATATCTGACCTTAGGCCTATTCCGGTAAATCCCAGACTTTTGCATAACTAATCCCACAAAGCCTCAACCTACTGTAACAGGCTCTTAACTGTAGCAAGCTTAATAACCCATTTATTTCTGTTCACTTCCTTGCCCCTCCATGCATGTTCCAAACTAATAAGCAACACTCTGATAATGACATTTTACTTCTAACGACTATAAAATTACCCACAAGACCTGAGACTGGGTCATAGGTCAAAGGCCATAAAATCAGGTCAGGATCAACAGGAGTGAGAGTTTGAGGAGAGCCTTGTCCCCATATCCCCATCTGCAGCAGCCGAAAGCTGACGAACAAGGTCAGCTCCCAGACTGCTGCGCTGGGCATCACAGCATGGGGAGTAGGTGGCCAGCCCTCTGTGGAGAAAGAAGTGGTTAGGGACTATTTAGAAAAGCTGGACATGCACAAGTCCATGGGGCCGGACGCGTTGCATCCGAGAGTGTTAAAGGAATTGGCGGCTGTGATTGCAGAGCCATTGGCCATTATCTTTGAAAATTCATGGCAAACGGGGGAAGTCCTGGATGACTGGAAAAAGGCTAATGTAGTGCCCATCTTTAAAAAAGGGAAGAAGGAGGATCTGGGAACTACAGGCCAGTCAGTCTCACCTCAGTCCCCGGAAAAATCATGGAGCAGGTCTTCAAGGAATCAATCCTGAAGCACTTACACGAGAGGAAAGTGATCAGGAACAGTCAGCATGGATTCACCAAGCGTAGGTCATGCCTGACTAATCTAATCGCCTTCTATGATGAGATTACTGGTTCTGTGGATGAAGGGAAAGCAGTGGATGTATTGTTTCTTGACTTTAGCAAAGCTTTTGACACGGTCTCCCACAGTATTCTTGTCAGCAAGTTAAAGAAGTATGGGCTGGATGAATGCACTATAAGGTGGGTAGAAAGTTGGCTAGATTGTCGGGCTCAACGGGTAGTGATCAATGGCTCCATGTCTAGTTGGCAGCCGGTATCAAGTGGAATGCCCCAAGGGTCGGTCCTGGGGCCGGTTTTGTTCAATATCTTCATAAATGATCTGGAAGATGGTGTGGATTGCACCCTCAGCAAGTTTGCAGAGGACACTAAACTGGGAGGAGTGGTAGATACGCTGGAGGGTAGGGATAGGATACAGAGGGCCCTAGACAAATTGGAGGATTGGGCCAAAAGAAATCTGATGAGGTTCAACAAGGATAAGTGCAGGGTCCTGCACTTAGGACGGAAGAACCCAATGCACCGCTACAGACTAGGAACCGAATGGCTAGGCAGCAGTTCTGCGGAAAAGGACCTAGGGGTGACAGTGGACGAGAAGCTGGATATGAGTCAACAGTGTGCCTTTGTTGCCAAGAAGGCCAATGGCATTTTGGGATGTATAAGTAGGGGCATAGCCAGCAGATCGAGGGACGTGATTGTTCCCCTCTATTCGACATTGGTGAGGCCTCATCTGGAGTACTGTGTCCAGTTTTGGGCCCCGCACTACAAGAAGGATGTGGATAAATTGGAGAGAGTCCAGCGAAGGGCAACAAAAATGATTAGGGGTCTGGAACACATGACTTCATGAGGAGAGGCTGAGGGAACTGGGATTTTTTTGTTTGAAGAAGAGAAGAATGGGGGGGGTTTTGGGGGCGTTTTTCAACCCCAAAGGGGGGGTTCAAAAGGGGGGGGGGGTTTTTTTTCTCAGTGGTAGAAGATGAGAGGAGGAAGAGTTTTTATCTTCAGTTGGGGGGGGGGGGGTTTTTGTTGGGGATTAGAGAAACTCCTTTTCAGGGGGGGGGGGGACAAAGAATTGGTTTCTTTAGGGGGGGGGGGGGTTCTCTCCCTTTTTTTTGGGGTTGTTGGGGGGGGGGGGGGGGGGGGGGGGGGGGGGTTGGGTTGGGGGGGGGTTGGTTGGGGGGGGGGGGGGGGTTGAATACACTCTCCCTGCCCTTCCCCCCTCCTCTTTTTTTTTTTTATGTTTTGGTCTCTCTCCCCCCCTCCCTTTGTTGTGGGTGCCCCTCCCGTGGGGGGGGGGGGGTGGTTGTTGTTTTTTTTTTTTTTTTTTTTTTGGAAGAATTAGAGGCTGTTGCTCCTGAATTTCAGTGTTTAATTCCCCAGCCTTCTCCACACACTGGAGGAGTTTAAGTCTCCCTCCCTTTATACCTGAATCACTAGATTTCCTAATTCCCCACAATGTGCTTTTGCAATATCACAGTTCTGGGACAACTTAAGCCTCTGACCTGCCTCCATGGTCTGCTCAAGGAATGCCCGCTCAGGTATCAGATCTCTAGCCAGCCCCTCTCTATGGGTAGGGACTCACATGCCTCTCCTTTTTGACCAGTTTGAGGATTGCAGCTTCTCCTACACTGTGTTCACTGGACTAACCTCCAGTTCCTGTGCTTTGCTTTTTCTCCAAGGGCTGTAAGCACTGTGTGTGAGATAGAGTTGGGAATTTTGGTGATACTTCTATGATGCCAATACACACCTCAGTTTCCCCCTCTGATTGGTATTGCTATGATTAGAAAGAGCAGGAGACACGAGGTGTTTTGTCATGGGGTGATATGAATGGGTCATTAAGGACTGGCTGGGACCAACCCACATCAATGGAACACCCGACAGAGACAAGGGAATAATTGTCACCTGTCCACGGGAGGATCTCCCCTTGGCTGAGTGAAGCATTTATGGACTAATTATGTTTTTGGGAGCAGGAAGAACTGGGCTCGCAGATGCAGGGAGCTCTATTGGAGAGAAGACAAATGGACAGGTACAGTGAATGGAAACCAAACTGTTTTCTAGAGCAGCATGGCTCAAGGGCATTGGCCAGCATGGACTATATTGTCGTCTTTGCTTCTCTGTCCTAATCTAAAGACTTTCAATGCTGCGTTTCGATTGACTAATAAACCCTGCTATGTTTTAAAAGTCTGCCCAGTGTCACAGCACAAACTTGCACTGTGCATTGAATGAGGAACAGTCTCTGAACAGGAGTGTCATTCAGTTGGACCTGTTGGCAGAGCTCACAGGTTGAAATAGTGTTGAAGCCAGAGGCTCAGTCGTAGGTGTTGAAGCTACATTGGCCTATCCTTGGGGGGGTCCTAGTGCACTCAAGGTGCACCTCCCAAGGACTGTTTAAAAGCCAGGGCATTTCACAGATCCTATGGATCCATGACAGTGTCAGTGTGCCTTATAGGAAAAAGATGTAAAGCAAGAAGAGCATCAAAATGCATATTTCCCATCAGTCCTCTTGGGAATCCCTGATCATTTCCAAAGTGTATTAAAACCTTCTTTAAAAGCTTACGTCTTGGTTATCAGGTCATGTCAGTTTGTAGCCCAAAAAGACCCCCTTCAGTCAGCTCAAACTCAGCTGTTTCTCCCCAAAAAGTCTGTCTGTTGTCTTCAGTCTCCTGAAATGAGTAAAATCAGTCACTGCCCCTTTCTGTATGGGGCAAAGCTTCAAAAGATGGAGTTCTGTATAACCAGCCTTGAGATCCAGCCTTAGTGATACCAGATTGCACAGGAAACCTATCCCTCAGCCCTCCCCGGTATCATCTGGCCCATCTCAGCATCATAGTCTGTGAAGTATTCATGCTTTCAAGGGCTGGCTCAAAGATACAGATAACAGTCATAAATAGGGTCAGTGTTTGCTGGCAACGAAAACAGAGTAGTTGACAAACATGAGCAATATATAATCCTTTACAGCCTGAAAGTGCATTGTCGGGAGAGGACAGGAGCCAGCTGTGTGGGGGAGGTGGGGCCCAGACACTGGGCATTGAGAGCCTAGAGCCGTCTGTGTGCTGGGGAGACGGGTCATGAACCAGCTGCATGCAGGGGAGATGATCAGGGGACAGGTGCTGCTGACACAGTCAAGAGCAGGTGCGAGCGCCGTCTGCTCTGCAGCATGATGAGGGTGCCCGGCGTCCCACTGCCAAGTGCCCTGCCTCTCAAGGGGAAGCTCCACCAGTGTTTTTTCTGAGCCCAGACTTGTATGAGGAAGGAAGAAACTGGTAGGAAGTCTCAAAGCAGCCAGTCCCCAGCCTTTTCCCTGTGCCCTGGGGAGGAGTCAGGTGTCTCCAGGGAGAAATCTGGGGTTTGTGACCCTGCATCCCCACCCACCCTCTGTTCAGCTATTCTGGATGTGAAGGGTGATTCCAGAAATGAAGAGTAATTTCAGGAAAAAATGCAGTAATAGCAGCAGTTTCCGGAAAACACTGGCCCTAGTCATAACATTAAATACAATAGTCTCAAGAGATATACCTGTGTTCATCAGATCTGTCACTCTGCCTTCACATCGTTCACTCTGCTGGTGGGTTCTGCCTCGTCCCCCATTCTGTGTCTGTCTTGTCTATTTAGATTGTAAATTCTTCAGGGCATGGGCCATCTACTATTCTGGGTTTGTACTGTGCCTAGCACAACAGGGGCCCACGGTTAGTTGGCTCTTAGGCACTAAGGTAATGAATATGATTTATAATAATAACTCTCCTGCCACTTTGAGCCAAGGACGCTAGCCTTGGGATGTTACTTCTTAAAAATGAGCTGGGGTTCAAACCATGGAATATTCCTTGTGACAAGTATCCCACAAATTCCATGGACCTTCCTTGTTTTCTTTGCCTTCCCAGGGTTTCCAATTTCCAAACCTTATGTGATCTCGCAGCAGGAATGAGGGGAACAGCCGTGGGTCTCAGACCTCTATGGCTCTGAAAAAAAGTGCTCCTGAGACCGTCTGCACAGGTGAGGAATTGGGTCAACCATCTCAATAACTGTCAGTGAATACAGGAAGCATTTGGGATGCCCTACAAAGACTCTCCAAGTTGTAAGCTGTCCAAGTTCAGGATTGTTCCCTGCAGATGTGGAATCATTAGGCAGATGTCATTCATGGCTTCCCACCTATCCTGACTGACAGTTGGCAGCAGGTCCCTCCCCAGTCTCACTTTCCCCTGAGAGTTCTGGTGAGATGCACGCCCAGAACTGATACCTTCCTCTCTCTCCTCTGGGGAAGGGTTTGGGGAAAATCAGCTCCTGATAGGTTTGATCTCTCCCGCACATATTTTGGTTTGTTCACACCTTTTTCCATTCCTCTCTCTGGTGCAGGGAGTGACCTATGTCTGGATTCTCTCTGTCTCCCATCAGGTGACGGGATGGTGAGTGAGAACGAGGAGACACCCCAGCAGGAAGATGCTGAGCAAATAGAACCACATGGGATGTTATCAGGAGTATCCAAAGGGAATGTTTCTGGGAGTTGTGCACTGCCAGAAAAAGCAAAAGCCTGTGAGATTCAGGACAGGCCAGAGGAAAACTCAGACCTTATTACATGCGAGACCATCAGCTTGGAAGAGACATGCTACATATGTCATGAGTGTGGGAAAAGCTTCAGTGGGAACTCTGACCTTCTCACACATCAGAGAATCCACAGGGGAGAGAAACCCTACACATGCTCTGAGTGTGGGAAAAGCTTCAATCGGAGCTCACACCTTAACAGACATAGGAGCATCCACACAGGAGAGACACCCTACGCATGCGCTGAGTGCAGGAAAAGCTTCAATCGGAGTTCAAGCCTTATTAGACATCAGAGAATCCACACAGGAGAAAAACCCTACACGTGCTCTGAGTGTGGGAAACGCTTCAGTTATAACTCAGTCCTCATCTCACATCAGAGAATCCACACAGGCGAGACACCCTACATGTGCTCTGTGTGTGGGAAAAGCTTCAATCAGAGCTCAAGCCTTATTAGACATCAGAAAATCCATACTGGGTGGACACCCTACACGTGCCCTGAGTGCGGGAAATGCTTCAGTTATAGATCAGCCCTTACCATACATCAGAGAAGTCACACAGGTGACAAACCCTATGGATGTTCTGAGTGTGGGAAACGCTTCATGGATAGTTCAGCCCTCATCACACATCAGAGAATCCACACAGGAGAGAGACCCTTCATGTGCTCTGAGTGTGGGAGAAGCTTCAATCAGCGCTCACACCTTATCAGACATCGGGCAATCCACATAAGAGAGACACCCTACACATGCGCTGAGTGTGGGAAAAGTTTTAAGCAGAGCTCTGCCCTCATCTCACATCAGAGAATCCACACAGGAGAGATGCCCTACACGTGCTCTGAGTGTGGGGAATGCTTCAGTTATAGCTCAGCCCTTACGAAACATCAGAGAAGCCACAGTGGAGAGACGTCCTACATGTGCTCTGAGTGTGGGAAAAGCTTCAATCAGAGCTCAAGCCTTATTAGACATCAGAAAATCCACATATGAGAGAACTGTAATAAATGCCTTGATTCCATGGCTGGCCAAAGATTGTTTTTTACAAAATCACAATTGCCAATTCCCACATAGCGACCTTTGCACCATGTTCACCGTGGTCTCTCAGCTCCCCTAGATGAGTTGCCTGCTTCTGCCTTTTGCAGCTCCCCGTTCTTTGGGGTCAGTCCTGTGATTTTTTTCTATCCTCTTTTCCTTTTGAGTTGTAGGAGTGTGTGTCCCTCCAGCCAGGAATGTTCATCAGCTCCAGGTAGGGGAGAGAGATTTGACCCAACGAGCTACACTGAGGCAAAAACTGCCTGGGCCTTACATTCACTAGGACTGTACGTGGTGTTGGCTGCTCAAGTGACCTTGGTGTAAAAAGACAATTATAGTGGTAGTGCAGATGTAGCCCAGGTGCCGTGGTTGGCATTAGCTTTCCCCTTGACCTGACCTAAACTCCATCACTTTTCCTAGTCTAAACAAACCCTGAGCATCACAGTTATACTGTCCCCCCATTTCAAAGCAATTGTTAGTTATCAAGTTCCCCCTTTGGGAACCATTTTTTTCATTCCCAGTTGCTCTGATGTTGCTTCAGGTTGTGCTGGAGACCAGATATTTTTACTACCATTTTCCTCACTTAAAATATATTGAACTATAACAGAGAACAGGAACAGGGCACGGATAGGGAAAAATGTTATTTCACCCTCTGTAGCAACAGAAGAAGATAGGGTAAGTCAGGGATTCCCTTATTCCCCATCACCAACCCAGTCCCCCTGTTGTTAAAGTGGTTAGGTCAATATTTTTTCTAAAGGGCTGGGAAGAGTATTCCCTAGTAATGACTTGTAACTAAGCAAAATACCCATGCATTTGGCTCCCAAAGAAGTTGTGGCTCAGGTCCTGCAGGAGATCGCTCCTGAAGAAATCTCCTTCCTAATCTGTTAGGAATCATGTTGCTTACTATTTGGGAAATGCAATCCCTATCTAGGTAGGGATGGGAAAAATGGAAGTGACATTTCTATTCAGCTCACCACTGTCAGATGCTGCAAATGTGTAGAAAATGAAATCTGTGTTGAATGTGATATAGCTGCAGAAAGATACCTATTTTTAATAGATACCTGACATGTGGTGTCTTACAGGGATTCTAAGACCACTCCTGAATTTAGTCCCTAATTTGAATCTGTGCCACCAGATTAAGGAAATAAAAGGGCATATTTGGGGGAGTTATACCTCACTTTCACTACTGATATATTGTGTGGTTGGTGAAGAATTCTATGACAGAGAAGTGTAAAATTACTCCAAGTAAGGTCAAAGATTTGACAAGAACTCAGGTAGAAACTGCAGGTACGAGTGGTTGATTTTCACCCTAGAGATGGAAGCTATGGTGACCTGTGGTCCAGGTAAACTATTTTTAGAACACTGCTCCCTAGTTAAGTGGCACTGATCATGGTCCTAAAGGATGCCATGATTAAATTGGGAACAACTGTCTTTTACCATTTGGAGCCAAAGTTTCATGAAGCACAGAGAGAAACAGCTGATTCCTTCAGAGCCATTCCATGCCTATGGGTCCCAATCTGGCTGACTTGCTGGACAAGAAGCACTTCCATGCTGGGCAAATGATGGTAGCCAATGAGGAAATGTACCAGATTCCAAGTTCAGACTGCAGGAGACATGAATGCTGAGTCCAGAGTCTGTGGTTTGGTCTCGTAGGCTAACAGGCTTTCCCCCCATTTTTGGACCCCAAAAAAACCCCCCCCAAAAAAAAAAAGGAGGGTTTTTTTTTTTTTTTTTGTTTTTGTGTGTTTGGGTTTTTTTTTGGGGGCTTTGCTATTAAGTCATGCATTTGTATCGCTTCTCCACCTGCTGCTACATTGAGAGATTAGAAAGTGTGAAAATAGAGCACAGGTGCTTTTTCTCATAATGCAACCTTCCCACATAGTGTGAGACCCCTTCCACCCACACTTATGGGAGAAGATCCAGGGAGAAATGAACTCACAGAAATGGAAGGCTCCTAGGTAATTGTAGAATGTGACTTCACACAAAGCTGACTGGGTGGAAATGGGAATTAAGAGAAAACTGCCCTATAGGTTTATATTTTGTAATCTTTAAATGAATTGTTACCAGCGACAATGAAATTAAACATGAAGTTAATTAGGAAAGGGGGGTTTGGTTTGATTTGTTCCCCCCCCGGGGAAAAAAAAATGGGGGGGGATGGAAATGATGGATGCATGATGATTTATTTTTGCAGCCAGTTATTTTTATGGGTGCTGAGGCCCCTTTTCGTTTTGAGGAGCCCAGCTGTTCGAGCCCAGCTGTTTAACCCTCAGGTCTGGCCATGGAAACCTCCCCATAACTGGCCTTATGTTTCTTTCGTGTTTGATACCTTTGGGGTTTGCACATCCACACTACATGCAGATTATGACAGCAGATATTTTGAGAAAACTGCTGGGTTAAGCGGGGCTTTTTCAAACTGACATTGGCCCAAACTCTGCCTCACTTCAACTGGAGTGGGAGACGTCTGTATCAAAGGAGTGGTTCACTCCTGATTTGCCCAGAGACCTTGGGGGAGGTGTGGTAAACTTGAATGTACAACAATAAAGTTAAAGATAAGGGTGGAAGTCCTTCAGCTTTCCAATCAACAAGCCTGTTGTGTTCATTCCCTCTGACGCATCTGGCACTGGTCACTCTCAGGCAGCACACTGGGCTAGATGGACCATTGGTCTGACCTAGTATGACCAGTCTTGCGTTCCTAAGTTATGTAAGTCATCTAAGAGAGATTGACTGCCAGGATCCCAGGACTGATCCCATCTGGGGAATGAAGCACAAGGTCGACAAGCTATGCAGCCTTCAGTAGTCTCCCTGTACCTGAAAAGCTGGCTAGCCCGAAGTGCTGGACCATCTGTGCCATTACCTGGTTCCTCAGCTGCAGCTATGGTTCCTACTCCATGTGAATCCAAAGACAAAGAGTTGCAGAGATCCAACCCCTTGTAATCTTTGAAATTTATTTTCCTTTTTCTATTTTTGTCTGTTTTTTTTTAATGAACGTGGATCCTTCCAAGCCTTCCTATTAGATTGGGGTGTAACTGCGGCTCAGTTGGGGTGTGTGTGTGTGTGAACACCTCTGAAAACTACACAGGGAAGATGCTTAGAAGAATAGTTCCCCAAATCTTAATAGCCTTAAAACTCTGCCCTATGAAATGACTGCATGCATGCTCCTTTACCTATGGAAGCATTCCAAGGAATTGAGCTGTCTGATATGTATTGTTCAGCAAGAGCTGTTTGAACTTCTTTAACTAATGTCTCAATAAGGTCTGTATCTGTGTTTTGGGGTGAGAGGGCGATGAGAAGTATTAGCTACACAAGAGTGAAATCGAAGGAGAAAACTTATTAGCTTTGAGATTTGGGGCTAAATGTAAGCAATAATTTGGTTTTGGTATTGAAATATTCAGCTGGCTAAATCTGGAATGCACTGCCTGGGTAAAAAATCTCTGATTGGGGTTTCGGCATCACTAAATACGCACCTGCCCCCTTAGGTTGCTGGTTTAGGATTTATAAGGGCTGATTTTCTGCTGTATTAATCTGATGGTTTGGCTAAATTGATGACTTGATTCCAGTGCAATATCCTTGTTAACTCATTGATTTACTGATTTGACCTGAACTTTATCATTTTTTTATCAATGTTTTATCATTTATCATCACTTTATCATTTGTTTAACCTTTAGTTAGCTGAGTAGTATTTATAATCATTTATACTGATGTGTATTCTTGGTTTTATTTGTTCATGTTAATAAAACATGTGTGATGCTCTGTACCTCGGGGAAACACCCAGCACCCCCATGTTCATCCTTGTAAAATGATTGTGTGGTATCCAATGCAAAGTTTGTCATGTTGGGTGTCTTCGAAAGGCTTATGATGCACTGAGCATGGTTGTTATAGTGATGTTATAGTAATTGTTACAGTAATGTTATAGTAAGCTTATAGGTTAAAATTTCATGTATATAGTTAGGAGGCTGAAAATGTATCCTCATGGCTTAAAGCAAGCCCAGGCAAAAACAGAGAGGCAGTTCACACCTCATCAGGGCATGGATGGGACAAACCCAGCCCAGCCTCACAGGAACAATGGACACTGGCTTAGGCAGCAACAAAAGAATCTGTTAGACCCTTGAGGGAGTCATCCCCTCCCTTTGATCAGTTTGGAACTGTGATGAGGTAATGGTCACCTGACTCTGAAGGCATGGGACAAGGGGCAAAGCCAAGAGGAAAGAAAGGACATGATAAAAGGGAGAGACATTTTTGCCATGCTCACTCTCTTCTGCCTACATCTACAGACACCACCACCAAGGGACTGAAATGCTGATCAGAGGGGAGAGCCTGGCTGAAAAGTAACCAGTCAGCCTGTGGTGAGAAGTATCTAAGTTTTTAAGGACACTGAAAGTGTTAAGATCAGCTGTTGTGTTTTTATTTCATTTGACCAAATCTGACTTGTTATGCTTTGACTTATAATCACTTAAAATCTATCTTTATAGTTAATAAATTTTGTGGGTTTTTTATTCTACCTGAGGCAGTGTGTTTGGTATGAAGTGTGTCAGAGGCTCTCCTTGGGATAACAAGCCTGGTACGTATCAATTTCTTTGTTAAATTGACAAACTCGTATAAGCTTCCAGCATCCAGCGGACACAACTGGACACTGCAAGAGGGAGGTTCCAAGGGTTGTGTCTGGAACCGGAGATATTGGCTAGTGTAATTCGCTTGCAAGTAGCTGGGAGCAGTTTACATGCCAGAGGCTGTGCATGACCAGCCCAGGAGGGGGGATTCTCACAGCAGAGCAGGGTCAGGCTGGCTCCCAGAGTCAAGGATTGGAGAGACCTAGTTAGATCACCAGTCCAGATAACACCAGAGGGGAACGTCACAACATTTAACTGGGATATTGTGTCATTTATTTCAGTAAGCAACAGGGGCTGGAACTGTGGAGAATCTGAGTGGAGATCAGCTACTCCACATCTGAGCCTTATCAGATTCCTCTGAATTAACACTTTGTTTCCC